TTTGAAGGGTGAACTGGGCACTGGCGTCAGTGCATAGTTTCCTAAGGGGAGTGCTTCAAAGGTGACTGCAGTGATATTCAGCAACGAGGTATGTAGCATTTTTCTAGGATGAGTTGTGAGCTTAATTGTCAGACCTCGTAAAATGTGAGAAATTGTATGATATTGAACCACCTGTGTGTTCACCAGACTGTATTCAGCGAATAACAGAGGAGCTTCTTCTTTATCCTTCCATCTAAACCTATGCTTAGGACTGAGGCCAGCAGATCGTGTTTCTCTGGTGTCTTGTTGACTTAGGCCTCAGCTTCAGGGCTTGTATGAGTGGAAGTGAATAAGTACTCTGAGTAATTACTTAGGTGGACAATGCCACTGTGTATTTGCAACTTGAGGATCATGTGTGAACAGGCTTAAACTAAGCAACACTTAAGGAAAAAAAAACAATGAAGGAGGCCTTCTTATGTGTTTCGCCTGAACTCTTCATTCTGAAAATATTCAAATTTATAGAAAAGTTAAAGAGTAGTACAATGAATACTTACTGTTAACCCATTGCCGCATTTACTGATTCCCTTTTTTTTATTGAAACAATTGTAAATAAGTGCAGACATCATGAGTTTCTTCACCCTGCATATTCTAGGTTAAAAACACTTTCCTACATAACCTCAATACCATTATCACACTTTAGAAAATTACCAATCATTTCCCAATATTTCCTAATTAAACAATCCACAATCCATGTTCAGATTTTCCCAACTGTCCCTAACATGCCTTTTTTGCTTAAAAAACAAAATACGAAACAAACCAGAATCCAGTCAAGGTTCACAAATTTGTAGTCATGCTGCTTTTGTCTTTTAAAATTTAGAATAATCCCTGCTTTTTGGGTGTGTGTGTTCCATGACATTGGCCTTCTTGAAGTGTGAGTGACAGTTAATTCATAGACTACCGCACAATCTAGATTTACCTAATTGTTTCCTCATGTGCTTTTTGTTTTTTAATTTTAATTTTTGTAAATTTTCAGACATGTGCTTAACAGGAATGTGCATAAATCCTAAGTATGAGGGTTTGTGACAGTTAATTTTCCAGCCTCTGGGATCCTAAAGGTCTGGCTATGTTACAAACCCTTATCTCTGCACTTGTTTCTCTTGCATTTAGAGAATGCCTAGTGCAGAGACAATTTCCTGGCACTTTCCTACAGACATGGGTGCTAAGGCTGGGCGACTTCCAATTTAGGCAGTTCCATTGTACTTATCTCAGACCCCCCCCCCCCCCCCGGGGGTTTCAATTAAAGAAGTTATTGTTTAGTTCCCCTTCTAAAACTGTTGCATTATGTAATTATCCTGGTTTAGGAGATTTGGGTTGTTTTTATACTATGTGAATGGATTGGCTATTAGGAAAGTCATTTTAAAGCTTTTGGTGATCTAATTCAATTGTTAAAACTGCTTTAATATCTAGGTTGTAATAAGATACAATACAGGGTCTTTTGGTTTCTCACAAACTAATGATCCCCCCCCCCCTTTGGTTGTAGAGATACAACATTAGTTCAGAGGTGGCTTACGTCCTTTAATTTTAAAAAAGATAAAATGTTAAAAATACAACGTTCGCTAACTTTGTCTTTATCTTAATTACCCTTTCCCCGTCTTTCCTTGTACTCCACAGCTCATTCCCAGTCCTCTTGTTCTCAAAACACATGCCAAATGGTGATGACAAATGATGGTGTAAATTGGGGTCTTAACCTGGGGTCAGTGGATCAATGAACCCCTTAAAACTGTATGCAAAATTTGTGTGTATTTGCTTAGGTGCTTTGTTTTTGGAGAGAGGTTTCCATAGATGTCATCAAATTTTCAGGGGTCCCTGTGGGCCCCAAATGGTTAAAATCACTGGCTTCAATAGTTGCTTCGTATTAGGGCTTTGATGTTTTCTAACCCTTGACATAGTTGACATAGTATCTTTTTTCTTTTTAGTAATCTTTTTGTGTATTTGTTTTAGATTAAAATATTACAAGGAATAAAATAAGATCCATTCATAATATTAGTCATCACCCAGAGATAGCCATTGTTTACACATTGCTACATAATTATTTATCTGCTTATGAGTCTTTCAATCATTTGTCCGCCTCCACACACGTACATGCACAGATATTTTTCAGAAATTGTTCTATATGAATTCTTTCTACTTTGCTAAATGTAGATCAATAGCATTTTTGTTTAATTGCTGCACAGGAGTCCATTGTATGAATATACTATAATTTATTTAACCAATCTCTTATTGATGGGCACAGATATTTGTCTTTTAACAGGAATCAAACCTTAGGCAACAAGAGTAGAAGAAGAGAGAGGAACATGGTGGGGCTTTTGCTGGTCACAAGAGCCCTCTTCCTTTGTCTTACCCTTCCAAGCCTCACCTCAAAGGTTGACTCTGGACTTTGGGTCAGAGAGCGTTTGCTTTTTCCAAAAGAAAAGAGAACTGTACTCTTACACTCTAACCTCCAAGTTAGTGACATTTCAAATTAGTAAAGAGTATAATAGTTTTAGAGGATCAGATGACTTCAAAGCAGCTTTATTTAAATCCATTCTCAATTTTTAGGGTTCAAATGGGCCTAATTTTATATAGCTTACCTTATATTTTTAAAAGTATTTATGAAAACTATTGTGGAAAAAAAATCTAATACTTTAATTGTTAAAATGCTTGAGTCAGGTAGCCTGGGAGAGAGTTTACCATGTATAAATACGTATGATTCCTTTCAGTCTCTGTGTGTGCCTATATTTTTCTGTGCTACATTGTTGAAACAGGTGTTGCTGATTGTCTTTTCCTTCTTTTTTTCTTTTATCTGTTTACCAATGGCACTACCAGATTAGAAGCTGCACCAGTCAACACCCTTGGGTCCAGGGGTAGTAACTGTTCCCATCTGGCTACGTGTGATTAATGGTATTTATGTCATAGCATAAATAACATTTTTGCTGTTCAATCAGTGGAGACTCTGGCCATTAAAAAAAATTTACTCTACGAAAATCAATAACCAGTGGTTTTTGGAAAGGAGCAGTTCTTTCACAGTTATTTCCTAAGCCTGTTTGTAAAGATAAACAATCGAATTACTATACTCATTGAAAATAGTACAGGCAACAAGAAGAAGAAATATAATCTCACAGATAAAGAATGACCTGAAATAAGGACAGGTAGGACGCCATTTTCAGGAAGACAGAAGGCAACCAAAGAAACCCAATTCCCTTTTGAAAGTCTTTAAGCATGTCGCCCTTTTTCACAGATCCAGCCAACAACACAACCACAGAGAGCTCAAGATAAATTTCCAGAAAAGCATGGGAAATAAATTAGGTTGATGATAGCATTCCGTGACTGACTTAATGCCACTTACAACTCTCTGTGGACTGGAGCTACAATACAGAAAATCAATTTTATTTATTTATTTGCCTCGAGTGTGCCAACTACATACATATTGCCACTAGGAAAACATACAAAATGTAAATAAATGAGCCAAAGTGTGAAATTTTGTGCACAATGAAATGGAAGGCTGCTTTTTCAGGAGGGAATGCAGCTTAAAATAAATCTTTGATGCTTTGCTTTGCTGGAAATATTATGTGTACTTTTCAAATGTTGGTGTTGACCACGTGTAGCAACATGCCTGAACAGACCGAGATAAGGTCAATAGTCCTGATTCACTAATAACTTACTTTGTATGCCTTGGGTGAATGCTTAGGGATGTTGCTCACACAGCAGGATTTTTTTTTAAAATGTAGTTATTGCTGCTTTTGTGAGCAGCTCAGTGTTTTTGCTCAAATTGGAGCACGCCTCACTGATTGCTGTCTGTAACTTGCGTCTTAGGAATCTGTGGCTGCAAGTTACATTTTAGGAATTCGAGTTATACCAGTTTCGCATCTCCATCGTGAGCCTCGCAGCAAGTGGAATTTTAAATGGAAAAGTGGAGATTTCCATTTGATACTTGATTGTATTTATAACCTTGTTCACAGCACAGATAGTCAGAATCCTTGTTTCTGTTGTAAGCTGGTGGCTTTCTAAATAATCACCAACTTAAGGCAGTAAAGAAGGAAGGAATAACGTCGTGTGCCTGCTCTCTGAATGAAAGACATTATGAAACCCCTTTACGCAAGATATGACCCTGCAGATTTGCTCGAAGAGATGGCTAACCTTCAGGCAAAGTGCTTTGGTAAAAGCATCATGTTTCCCATTTCACTGTGTAATGACCAGGAGCTGAGAAGAGCTGTTTCCTGTCACTGCACTGTATCATTCTCATTTGCATTATTGGCAGCTGTTACTTTGCCAGAAGTTTAAATTATCTCAAGAACTGTAAACTGAGTTCAGATGTTTGTTTATTGGAGCTGCCTTAGGCTTCTGAAAACAGTCTTTTGTGTTCTCCCAGTCTTAAGAAAAGGCTCTTCTCAGAATCAGCCCTTCCTCCCTCCTTGCTCTTTGCTGGGAACCTGCTTCACTCTCATAAAGAAAATGAAATAAAGAGGACAAGGGGCTCAAGACCGGTCAGAAGAGAGACTCTGGCGGTGAGGCTACTTGAAACGGAAAGGAATCGGGACTCAACATCCTGCATTTGTGTTTTGTTTTTGAAACTTCGAGTTAGTTGCATTAATGAATTAACCAGCAGTCTAGCAATGGAAAATGTTTCTCGCGACCTGGTGGGGGAGCCAAATACTATAGATTTGTAACAGGAAGGCTGTTGATTCTGGCTTTATTGTTGGGGCCAGTCATTTGTGAGCTGGTGGCCGGAGCGCAGGCCACACACTCCTGTGCAAATCTTCCATGTATTGGAACTGCCCGGGTATTGTTTCTGCAGTCGGAGACACGGCCAAAAAAAGATGGTGAGCCCTGGGTTTCATTTCTTGTTTGTGTAGCCCCTCAGCGCTGAGGAGAGGGGCAGGATGCCGGACTCAGTTTGGGGGCAGGGAGCGGGACTGTTGAAATCGAAGAGCATCTGTGAGTGTTTTGCTGTTAATGCTTTTTTTCTGTGTCATCCTCTGTAGAGTTCTGGGAACGCGTCCTATCGCTGCTCTATGTCTTCCTCTGCGGATTTTTCCGATGAGGATGATTTCAGCCAAAAATCTGGCTCAGCATCTCCAGCTCCTGGGGACACCTTACCCTGGAATTTGCCTAAACATGAGAGATCGAAAAGAAAGATTCACGGGGGCTCAGTGCTGGACCCTGCTGAGAGGGCAGTGCTTAGGATAGCAGGTAAGAGCATCCGGGGAGGGGAGGGAGCCCGGACAACAGTTGCGGAAATTCACCCATCTGCTCTACTGGGGCTGAGAGGTGGGAGGGGGCCTATCTGGGAGCTGATGCACTGGGCACAGATCTGTGCTCAAGGTTGGGGAGGACGATGAGCATATTTACTTTATGCCCCCCCCCGTTTATCGATTGAGCCATTTGCCCTGACTGCTGGTGACTAAGCTGTTTGGCCCTGTCTTCTGTTTGGATAAATCGATACCTTTGATATGCAAGGAGATATTCACAGACCTCTGTGTTAAACTTTCCTATTTACATGCAGTAGCCACTGTGACAATTTGAAAGTGCAACATTAACTCCAGTGATTGCTAGTGCATTTGCCGGAAGCTGTGAGAGGCTTCATTTCCATCTTTGTCCAGGAGCACTGAGCTACGCAGATTTAACTGGGATAGATTCCTGGTGTTTGGTACCCGGGATTGCAGAGGGTATTCTAGCAACGAGGATGCCATTTCTATTTTTTTTTTTAATGTAGCATCCCTGTCCACATCATGTGCCTGTAGCAGCTTTCCATCTCTAGTGCTATTGAGGGTTTAGCCATCACACGTTCCTGATTAATTAATATATGGGAGGTGCCAGTGTTTCTGTTCTGTGTTACCCGGTGGTGTTCCCTTGCATTGGCTGTAACACTCGAACCAGAAGTGATGGCTTGTTTTACCCAACTGAAAGCTGAGAACACCTTGGAAATCAATCCTCCAACTCTGCAGTGCCTGTGTGGTTTGTGTGTATGTTCTGTGCATCAGAGTTGCTTCCTGAGGTAGTTGTTTCTTCATTCCTTCAATCTTTTTTTTTTTTTTTTCCCTTTTGGAAATGGTAACAGGGTAGGATAGAGTGTGTCTTTGGGGCTCTCCTGAAGAGGCCAAAGGTCAGGTGTTTTTCCAAGTTACTTTCTGCCGCCAGTGGGTCCAACCTCCTATCCTCCCTCCTCCCCCACTCTCAACTCTGGGGACCCTTGCCACTCAGTTTCTTTTGCCTCCAGCTCTAATGCAGAGTTGGTACTTTATCTTCCTCTGAGGGGGCTGAAGGGGACTAGCCCGGAACCCAGCCACCCTGGCAGCTGAGAGTCCCCCTAGAGACCCCCCAGTGGGATTTTCTGATTACGGGAAAAACAAACAGCGCCCAGCCAGCCATTCTCTAGTCTGGGTTTCTGGGGCAACAGCCTTGAGCTTCTTCTGGCTTCCCTTGTGAGATGCTGGCTGGCTTCACACAGGCCTTTTGAAGAGGCAGGGTGGAGTGGGGAAAGAGGAAGAGGAGGGAGGGTGGAGGATGGAGAGACTGTTTGGGAGCCAAGTGAGAGTGAGCAGGGTGGCTTGCGAGAGCTGGGGCAGACCTGGCTCACACTGCACTCCCGGAGTACCAGAAAATGTTTAGTCACTGAAGCCTGACTCCTTCCCCTGTTGAGACACCTCCCGCCCCCACTACCCAGCAGGTCTGAGGCACTGGGAGGGAGGAGACGGCTGGTATCAGATATTTGGCTCAGCAGAAAGGGAAGATTGGTGAAAGGAAGGTGTGTGAGAGAAGTCGATGGGCTTTGTGGAAAGCCTGGGGCATCAGAATAGGATGCCTGTATTCTGTGCATTTTTATGGAAGGCAGAAGGTGCTTCTAGCTTGAGAGTTTTGACAGCGGTGGATATTTTGTTTTTGGTAGTGAAGGAAGGAGTTATGAGAGAAGGACAGGGAAGATGTTTCTATAACCCTATATAAACTGTGGAAGACTATTAAGCAGAAAGTCATGAGAAGTTGGTGGAAGTAACCTTATGTGTCACTCAAGGTGGGGAAGAACTGGAAGAACTGGGGTGCTGATGGGATGCAGTGGACAAGCATTAGGCTTGTCCGATGCCGATGTTAGTAGGCTGCAGACTCCATGAAGTTGGGCCCATGTCTTATTTTTTGTAAAATGTTCCTTGAGTGATTTGTGGGGATAGCTACCAAGTTAGTGGTAGTTAATGCACTCGAGACCTAAAATGTACATACTTTTAAGATTATATTAAACAAAAACAGAACACAACACTATTAAACAACAAACAGAATAAGCAGCCCTGGTATGAAAGTGTCCTATTGTGTTTACAATACATGGTAAATTGTCTGTTTGCTACACAAACCGTAATCATACATGGAGCACGGACTTGGAGGCCAATCCATAAATACCTGTTTAATCATAAAGTGGCTAAAATATGAAATTTAGATATATTATGTGTTAAATTTGCCACTGATCACCCAGTGTGAGGACAAGGGAACAGGGAATCTGAGGGAATTTGGTGCTGTGTATTGTTTGAAAACATACTATTGAGATTTTAACTTCTAATTTTATTAGACATTTTCACAGTCTGCCTAAAAGTCATCGCATCTTGGAAACTCAGTCCTAGTAAGAGATGGGGTGAGGTTCAGAAATGGTATGAGAATGTCCATACTTAGTATTAAAAGAATTGAAAGTTCAATATTTTTATTTGATGTTAAGGACATAAAAAAATAGAATTGAATATGAGAAGGTATAGAGCCAAAAAGACCATACAGTTTGTGGGATACCTTAATTCACTCACATTTAATAAATATTTACTGAGCCCTTGGAATAAAATGAAGAAAAGCACACAGTTCTGCCTTTAAAGAAGTCATAGTTTAATAAGATAAATAGATGCGTTGTTAGTTACAACATGGTACAAGAGATTAGTTGTAATGGCTGTAAGTACCTAATATTAAAAGAACCCAGAGGAGAATCTAATTAACTTGGATGGAGAGAGGAGGCATGAGGGGTTCCCGAAAGGTTTCTGAGGGATAGTGTCACTTAAGGTGAGATTTATAGAGCTTGATGGAATTAGGGTGAAAGGGAACACCATTTCAGAGGGCTAGAACTATGGGAACAAAGGTAGGGAGATGTGTTTCAATGGAAACGTGAAGTAATATGTGTAGCGAAAGCATGGGATTTGGTAAGGAATAGCAGAAACTGTAAAGGTGCTTGTGTACAATACTGAAGAGATTAGACTATGCGGAAAGATTTCTAAACTGTGCAGTAACATAATCAGGTTTACATTTCAGAAAGTCATACTGCTGATGGGGTCACATGTCTGACACTTCATATTTTCCAAAGTGCTCTCGCATTTATTATGGCTTCTTCATTTTAAAACCTCAGACTATAATATATATGCCCTTCCTGTCTCTCAGAGGGGTCAAGTGGGAGAATAAGATAACAGGACGTAAAGAAAGGGGCTTTGTCATACCCACTGTAATGCCTTTTACTTAAGAACAATACAGATCTGCTGTTCTTAGCTACAGGATACTGTAAGTTGGTTTTTTCAGTCTTGAAGTGCCTGTAAAGGTACATGGTTTGTCAGTGATAATGCTATATCATAATATGGATTCTTGTCTTATTATGTGCATTCTCTGAAGTTGGAACAGAAGGCTCTAAGCAGAGTCAGACTCAGGACTTAGGAAAGCTTGGATTTTAATTCCCCCTCTATCGCTAAGCAGTTGTGTTTTCATGGACAACTTACTGAATTTTCTCAGCTTCATTTTCTCTATCATTTTCTCTATCAAATGGTCTGGTGGTTGTTATTACATAAAGTAGTGAATGCAAAACATTTTGAAAACTCCTCGCACACGAAAAATGCTCTATAAATAATAGTTTTACTGATGGCCAGATGTTTTTATAATCACTTAATGTTATTTCATTTAGGCTTCCCAACAACCCTATGAAGTAGGTACTACTATTTTCTCCATGTTTCAGCCCAGAACTCTTCTGAGACAGGGAGAGACTCTTCCCAAGGTCATCCAGCTAGGAAGTGGTAGAGGTAGGTTCTAAATTCAGGCAGTCTTGATTCCAGAGGCCCCACCTCTTAACTCCTGTGCTTTTGCTGCTTCCTTATGGAATACACTATTATTATCAGCAGACTGACCCTATATTATCATTACAAGAATGCATGGGACAAAGGTTGTTTTTACAGACAACCTTCCATGCTGCTTTTGTTCATTTTGACTGGCTCCTTAAATGGACAGTTAAAAATCACTTAAGTGTACACTAATTATATTCATAAAACTGGGTACAACTGGGTGTCAGTCTCCGCTGAAGACTCAGACTGTGCCCTCAATAACCTTAGTCATTTTGAGGGAGAAAAGACACTTTTGAGAATCTGTGTCTGTACATATATGATCTGTAGATGGCATGACTCTTAGGAATCTAATTGCTAGCCCTTTCATTTCAAGAAGGTGTCCCATATGATATGTTAGTTTAATTTCATAAACTAATGTTTACAAAAATGCCTACCAAGATGCAAGAAAACTCCAGCGATCCTAAAGGCTTAGTGGGACATAGAATCAACATCAGATTATAAGCCAGTGGTCAGAAAGAAAAGAGAGATGTGGTTTTGCTTTGTTTGGAATAGGCCAACTGCTGAGACATCAAGCTTTCCAATTCAAAGTTAAGTATTTTTTTTGAGTATACAGTTTTTTCAAGAGTACTCATTCCCATCTAAGAGTTAATGGAAGGAAAACGGTTCAGATCCGCAATACTGAAAAAGAAAGAAAGAAGAAACCAAGGACAAAAGGTCACTATACTTGAAAGGAGGAAATAGGGAGGAAAGCCGTGGGCAAGAGGAAGTAGTCATAAGTCAGATGATCAACAGTGGGCTGGTTTATCTAATAATAATAATAGCTAACACTTATAAAGCTATTTACCATTGCAACTCTATGAGGTAGGCACTGTTATTCCCATTTTACTGATGAAAAGATGCTCAGAGAGGGTGACTTGCCTGTATCAGACAGTAAGGGGTGGGGAATTCATACAAGGCAGCCTGACTTCAGTCAGTACTCTTAAACACATCCATTTACATGCCTGGGTACCATCTAGTTCCATCAGTGGACCTTTAAACTCACCCACTTTAGTATATGATATGACCAAGTTAAGGGAAATGTACCCACGTTACTCAGGTTCACAGGACACCAGTATGGTGGGGAATGAA